CCCGCCAACCTTCAAATTTTGTATAGATATAAACACCCAGGCATGCAGTTTCCTATTGATGTCAAACAGAGAATCTGAGCAGGAACAGCCACACTGAGACTTCTGTAACAGATCTGAGTGTGCTAGGAGTACACAGGTCATTTTTCCTGTGGAGAAAATACAAGAAACGTCTGTTCTATTGAATTAGGTTACATTGCTTCTTATCTTTATATCAAGGAGTACTTGGTTTATTTTCTGTCTATTCTTCTCTCCAAGAAAAATCAGAGTGGGAAGGGGTCAGAATCAAGGAAAGAGTATAATAATATTAACGGAGGAAACTTTTCTACAGCTGTTGATAACATAGAGGCTTCATAGAGTCAGAAGAGGCCCACTTAGTATGCTAAGCATGATGAAGAGCATACATCTGGTCAGATCAGAGTTAAGTTACGGAGAATGTTAAAAATGATTTATGGAGAGTGAAATGCAATCATCATTGTAATTGTCATCAAGAACATTGAATATTTGACAGTCTTGTATTCTTTATCAGGCATAAGGACAAACAAATTTTAGACATAGACTGACTTGAAAGGTATATTTTTTGTGTATCTTTTTTGACATGAAGTTACTAGAGAGTATACTTTAGAAAAATGAGAAAGGGACCCTAAGAAGAGAATATTGTAGATCATAAGAAAATGAAACTGTTGTGGTATAGAAAAAAAAAGGAGGGAGAAAAAAAGGATACAGCTATTCTAGGAAATAGATGATCTGGGCAAGAACGACATAATAAAGGTGAGGGGTACACATACCACACAGGAGTGGTCAGAGGATTATTTTGCAGAATGGTTTTGCCCTCTACCTTTATGTGGGTTTCAGGGACCCACCTCGGGGATCCTCAGGCTTACATGAGAAGTTTTATAACCTCACTAATCCAACCTACAACCCCTAAACTCTGTGTGTGTGTGTGTGTGTGTGTGTGTGTGTGTGTGTGTGTGTGTGTAGAGAGAGAGAGAGAGAGAGAGAATGAATACATAAGGTATTTATTAGAACCACATGAATTAATACTCAGGTACTACTTAAGCAAAGGTAAGGGGAAGAGTTTTTCTGGAGTTAACTTCCTATTTTTTTTTTTTTTAATAATTGATTTGTTGACTTGTGATAATCTTTCTTTTATTTGAAAAAGTGTGCCGGGCGGTGGTGGCGCACGCCTTTAATCCCAGCACTTGGGAGGCAGAGGCAGGTGGATCTCTGAGTTCGAGAGTTCGAGGCTAGCCTGGTCTACAGAGTGAGTTCCAGGACAGCCAGGGCTCCACAGAGAAACCCTGTCTCGAAAAAACCAAAAAAAAACCAAAAAAAAAAAAAAAAAAAAAAGAAAAAGTGTTAGGGCCTAGAAAGAAGGCTCAGAGGTTAAGAGAACACACTGCTTTTCCAGAGAACCCAAGATCAGTTCACAGTATCCATGCTGGGTGCTTAGAATCACCTGTAACACCAAACAGAGCCCCCAGGGTCTAAACCACCAGCCTGGAAGCACTTAGGGAGGGACCCATGGTTCCAGCTGTATATGCAAGGGAGGATGGTCCTGTCAGGTATAGGTGGGGGAGGAGATCCTTGGTCCCATGAAGGCTGGACGCCGTGTGTGGGGTAGGGAGGTGGGAGTGGGGGGGTAGGTGGGGGCACATCCTCATAGAAGCAGGAGAAGGGGGGATGCGATAGGGGGTTCCGGGGAGGGGGGGAAATGGGGTAAGGGGATAACATCTGAAATGTAAATAAAATGTCCAATAAAAATAAATAAATTAGAAAAAAAACAAAGATAGAATCACTTGTGTAACTGCAGCTTTAGGGGATCTAAAATATATATACACACGCACAGACACACACACAGAGAGAGAGAGAGAGAGAGAGAGAGAGAGAGAGAGAGAGAGAGAGAGAGAGAGAGAGAGAGAGAACGAACACAATACTAAAAATCCATCTTTGAAAAATAGTAGATGAGTAAAAATGGTAAGATAAAATAGAAATTTAGGTTTATACTTATATGAAAATATATAAATTGTCTCTAGAAAATATTGTTGGTTGATCCATATTGTCAATCATCAAGTAATTATCAATTTAAATGTGTTCTATACCCATAAGTTCTTTGATTATTCCTTTTGAATTTTGAACATTTCAGAAGTCATGTTACCAATGGGTAATTCAGTTCTCAAGGTACTTTAAAAGAACTTTTAAAAAACAGATTATTTTATTATTACTTTGAAATATTGTCCTTATGTAAGCACTTTTTATAACATGGTTTCCATCGAAAAACTCATTTATAGTGAAAAATAGTGGGTCTTATCTTCCTTCCATCTGGAGTTGGAAGGCCTGTAGTCGTTAAAAAAGTTTGGTTGCTGAGAAAGTAGCAAAGATTCTTCTACGCATTAATAATTTAATGAATGTCAAAAGATAAAAGTTCATTGTGGTTCTACAGCATATAACCAAAGCCATTTTCTGTAGCTGTTTCATCCACAACTTAGTTTTTCTACATTGAAAGTATGAACTCTGCTTCATTTTCTGTTCTATGTTTCCTGGTTGAGTGGCCAATTTCTTTAATGATCAATACTTATAATTAGGATTTATACTTCAAATTTATTGTTACTATTTTGAATGTAAATATTAAGCCTTGCTCAGAACCTTGATAGTATCTTGATTTTCTTTATTTTTCTGTGGAAAGACAATGAACAACATACATATTAAATTTGGAGCCAGTTTTTAGGGTGCCATAAAGCTTTCTTCCATGACAATACTCTGATCTTCCTGTTCTTTGAAGTAAGGTAGTGTAAGAAGATGGCTTCTATCATCTGTTCCTCTATGAAGATGTTGAAAACTGTTTGGGGAGGGGCAGGAATGGGAGGATTGATACTATCATTTTAAAGTAATAAAAAGTTAGAGTCTCAGTGCTTTCATATGTTTGTGAGTGAAGGGGAAATAAAAACCCTAAAATATATAATTTACCTCACATTTCATCACTCACAAAGGAAAATAACACAAATTCTGTTGTGATACTTTTTTGTCCAGATAGGTAAGGTTTACTTAATATTTTAAATTTCTTTGTCAGTCATGTTGAGTATTAAACCCAGGGTCTTTTACATACAGTTAAGCTCTATACTCCAGGGCTGTATCACCTGCCCTTAGTATTTGTTCCAGATGAGAAAATTACAACTTTTTAATCTGTTGTGACATTTTGTTAAGAATCATATAAAAGTTGCCCAGTGGTGGCACATGCCTTTAATCCCTGCACTCAGGAGGCAAAGGCAGGTAGATCTCTTGAGTTCAAAGACAGCCTAATCTACAGAGCCAAGTTCCAGGGCATCAAAGTTTACCAAAAATAAAAGAATTTTACAAAACTTTTGACTCATGTATGTTGTTCAGACAAGGGCAATAAGAACTCCTTCATTGAGTCTAGTAGTCAGTTATATGATGACTGTCTTTCTAGTATTTTAAGGTTAAGACTCATGCCTTGAGATCTCCCTTAGGGTTTTCTCATGACCCCTGAGCATGGAAAGTTCAGAAAAATGCAGATCTCCATGATCCTTTCCTCTTGATCAATAGACTGCTAGCTGCTTTCCAACTCAACAGTGTATATCCAAGGTTGCTAAACGCATTTCATTCTTTGGGGTAATATCATTCTACAGGAACCTATAGAACAACTGAAGTAAACTTCACAGTGTGTGTGCGTATTTGTATATATGTGTTTGACATATATATATGTGTGTGTGTGTGTGTGTGTGTGTGATATACATACTTCTCTTAGGATATGCTTATTTTCTTCATTAGTTTGTTTTTTGTTAAAGATTTATTTTCCTTTAGTTTTACCTAAAACTAAAAAACCATTTGTGTGCTATGTATTACAAAGAAACTTATCTAAAATAGTAAATGATTATGATTAAGAAATGATTATGATTTGTCAAAAATCATTGCAGCCCAAACTCAGAAAAAAGTAAATTTATGTATTATAAAATATATGTTCATACTGGATTCAAGATTAACCTGTTCTACCATACAGGCTAACTCAGAATTCAACTATATATTATTTTCTTTAAAATTAAAACTTTGGAAAATGCCTTGAATTAGGAGAGAGTATGTTGGAAAATGAAAGTTTTTGTGTAGCTAGTACTTTTCTCTGTCTCAGAGGCATGCCTTTGTCTGTTTTGTACAATGAAAATGTAATTGTGCTTAGTTATTTGTTCTTCTAGGTTCATTGCTCTCTATGTAAGGAACTATGTCCTTACTTAATACATTTAACATTTTAACAGTTTTTTTCCACTTGAAATAACATTTTCAGTCACTTAGTAGTTGACCTAAAGTGAGAGAGGAAAAGAAGTAAAAAAATACCTTGGCTACGTATCACATTTTAAAAACTCATGCACTTCACTGTCCTGGTAATTTCTAGACCAACATTATTGAACATACAAGTTTTTGTTGTACTTTCAAAATAAACATCTGGCAACATTTTTAAAATAATTTACCTAGCAAGATAGCATTTTATTAGTTTCCTTACTTTAAATTTGTATACTATATATCATTTTGAAATTGGGTGTTGCAGCCAGAATATAAATCAAAATAGTAATTTCAAAATATACTGTATAGTTAGACACCTTTTTTTTTTTTTAAAGGAATTGTCTACAAAGATACAATGTCATGCAGAAAACTGCAGTATTCTTTTGGAGGAAATGCTCTAAAAATGTTTTACTATTTAAAATTGGTTTTCTTCCTTGTTTACAGTTTAAGCCATGATAAGTACTTTTAATCTGAAATAAAATAGAAGTGAAATATATTTAGTAAACTGTCACTTAAACAACATCTGGGTTCAGTATAAAACCTTTTAACAGATTTTTGAATAAATCATTTTGTGAAATACAAAATTTTAAAAGTACAGATAGCACATTATTTAAATCATAGTTGCTTTTAGACCTTAACTTTGGAGGGTTTTTTTTTTTTTTTTTTGAGGAAAAGAACATGTTAAAGTGGTTCAAAAAAGTAAAATGGAGTGCATACAAGAATAGAATAAACTTTAATGTTTAACACAACAGACACAAAGTTCCTTTAAAAACACATAACCATCCTCATGTTAATTTTCTGTTGGAGCTGGAGAGAGAGTTCCCAAGAACAGTTTTCACAGTTGAACACGGAGCAGTCCCAGTGGCATAGTCAGGCAGCTTATATTGCAGATTCATTATCAAATATTTTACTTTTTAAGGTCTGTAGATTGTGTTGGATAAAATTCTCGGTGCCCTGAACTTCAGAGAACCTGGAGTCACTTCTTCTAACAGACCAGTTTTTCATTTTTATTGAATTCTGAATTGTGTCTGAAGTGAAGTAGTAAACAATGGGGTCAAAGCAACAGTTGGAGACAGCAATGCAGAGAGTGATCGGGTACATCGTCCTCACTGCAGCTACCACAGAGCAGTTAACAAAGGTCTGCGTCCTCATGAGCGAGTACAGAATGAGATTGATGTTGTAGGGCACAAAACAGAAACAGAAGATGACCAAGTGGACAAAAATCATTTTTAAAACCTTAGTTTTGTTCATTTTGCTTCTACTTAATGTAACAGGTTTATTTAAAGTTCTTAGCACCACACTAGAACAAGTTACGTTCAAAATAAGGGGGATAAAAAACCCCACTATTTCAATGAAAATCACAATCCTGGAGAGATAAGTTTTCCACGTGGCTGCTGGAAAGTTCTCAAAGCAGGCTTCTGAGGTATTGTTACCCTGAGAGTGGGTCGACTGAAAGAAAACTGCAGGCGCGCTTCCTCCCATCACGGTGAACCACACCGCAGTGCAAACAATCTTTGCATTTCGTTTAGTTCTTAAAGTCTTTGACTTAAATGGGTAGACAATTGCCAGAAATCGATCTACACTGATACAGGTTAAGAACAGAATGCTTCCATACATATTGGTGTAAAACAGCATTACTGAAATCTTACAGAGCAGATCTCCAAATGGCCAATTCCGTGTTGCAAAGTAAAAAATCCGAAATGGCAAAGTAAAGACGAAAAGTAAATCTGACATTGCCAGGTTAATCATGTATGTTGTAGTTTCATTTCTCACTTTGAGGGCACAGATGAAAATATATATCGCAACACAGTTGGATATCAGCCCAAGCACAAACACCATGCTGAACATGCACCCATACAAAGTGTACTTAAAGGAGTCGTCATAAGGGCAGTGGGAGCCATTGGAGCTTACCATTGTCGGGCAGTACAGCTTACAGGAGTCCTTTTGTCTGCAGTGATCGCCTTTGGTATTCAGATGTGGTCACAGCAACAGCCAATTTATTTGCAAATTATTTGTTTCTTTTCCTGTTCTTACAAATGCTTTCTTCTCTGAACTCTTCAAAGGAAACATGAAATGTGTTGCTTAAAAGTTTCTAGTAGATTCTTCAGGAAAATAGTCTGGTTTTCTGGTCTAGAAAATCCATGAGTCCGGAGTATAGTTAACTGACAGAAAATGCAGTCAAGGAAGCCAACCCATAAAGCTGCAAGCTTAAGGAAAAACTGTTCCAAGTTGAACACGACCAGTCCTCATATAAACTTGTACTTCGGCCGTCAAGGTGAATATTCCAAAATTAAAATGTCTTTACGTTCAGAATGTTAGCCATAAGTTGCCAGTCTTGCTTCAGTCTTTAAACACTTGCCGTCCTTCGTCCTCTTCGTCCGTACTTCTTCCTTCTTTTTATTCTCAGACTTCGTATTTCTACATTGATTCCAGATGGCGATAGGCAGTCTTTTAGAGGATCTCAGATAAATTCCTAAGCATGTTAGCTCTTGCTGAATGGAGGCCTTTCCGAGGTTGCCAGCTGTATTGTGAGATGGGCTGTCTCTGAAGTGAGCAAGTAAGGCTTCCCAGATTTGTAATATGACATCACAGGAAGAAGAGGCTGGGTTTGGACAAAGGAAGGCTTCAACCCAGTTGTTTGCAGTTCCTTTAATCTGATAATGTGTCTGCTGGGAATGTACCTAGGAGGCTTGCAAATGGTCACTGGCTGTCCAGCTGAGTTGAGCGTTAACTCTTTTTATGCCAAAATGCTTTCTGGGGATTCTGACAACTTCTAAGTGGTTTGTTTTGCTTTAGTTAGTAACAACTAAGAGAAAGAAAGAAGTACATCAGCATAAGGCAGGTTCTTTCCTACTGCTTTTGTAGTTGGAATCGTACCTTCTTTAAAGACATAAAATGCAGATGGATGCATGTTTAGAAATTGAAATTCTTAGCGATGAGTTTTTAAAGAACTGTTTAATCACTGAAGACAGAACCTTAAGAGTTTATATAAAGGCTTTGACTGAGGCAAGCAGTCCTGCTAATCTTAGTATCTGGTTGTTTTTTTTTTTTAATTGCTCTTCAACATTTAACTTAATTGGCATGATTGTGAGTAGCTTTAATCCTAGATCTCTTAGGTTTTGATAAATAAGGTTCTAACATTTTTCTTTCAAACTAGTTTTCTAGAGCTATTTCAATTTTTAATACATCAAAGACTACATTAAGTATGTTTATTTTTTCCCTGGAGGATTATAGCTCAATAGTGAGAACAGTACCCTAAAATGTTTGCTTTTTAGTGCAGTATGATCATTTTTGCCCACAACTTAAGCATAATGAGAAAATGTACTTTGTGAGAGGGGCTTTCCCCCTTCTAAGTTGATTGACATATCTTAGAGCCGAGAATCAGAGTTCTACTGCTTGCCTCCGCTTAGGTTCATGAGTTTTAGTCTCATCTCCTCCACTGCGCCCTCAGCTTCCTCACATGTTGGCTGTGTGCTGGGACATATTTCAGATCTTACTTTCATCTCTAAATTTGGGGCTAAAACTCTTCATTTGGGATCTGTGAAGACATTTAAGGGCACGTTCTCTATAGAACCTCTGCTTTAAGTATTAAGGTGTGCTCATGTGGTCTACACCTTTTAAATTTGAATTACTCTAATGCTCATCAGCCTTTGATGGTGAATTGTAATCTTTTTGTTGTTTTGATTAGGAATTCATCTGTGATTAAATAATACAGTATTACAGGCCATAAGATTGAGGGTCTGAATTTCTTTGCATTGGTTTAATGCAAACCATTGCAAACCTATAGCCCAGCCTACCATACCTTAGGCTTACCCAGTGAGCCATTTCTCTAGCCCACCCATTGTTTTCAGTAATGCGTATTTCTGGTTTGCTACTGATCAATTTTGTTTTGCCTCTTCATTTTCACTGCCACATTGTAAAATATACTCAGGCACTTTATCTCCTAATTACTAGTCTTGCTGTCTTTCAGTTACTTTCTGCCAACCTATTCACTTATTCTCTTGTTTCCAAGAAGAATTTAAAGGGAATTACAATATTCAAAATAAAAATACTGGGCCTGGAGAGGTGATTCAGTGGTTAAGAGCATCTCTATTCCTGCAGTGGACCCAGGATTAATTCTCAGCACCCACATTGGGTGGTTTGCAAACACTCATAACTCCAATTCCAGCCTCTTCTGGCCACATCAGATGTGAATATGATATACATGCATACATGCAGGCCAGCAGTTATACATATAAAAATAAATAAATAGATCTTTAAAATACATAAGTAAAATATACTGTCAGTTGATTTTTAGGATGTTGTGATATGTAGATTATACCTTAGTACAAAAGAGTTATAAAGGAAAGTCTGTGTAAAGGGTTAATAATTTGCTGGGCGTGGTAGTACATGCCTTTAATCCTTGTACCTAGATGGGCATGCTGGAAAGATGGCTCAGCAGTTAGGAGTACTTCCTGCTCTTTCAGATGGTCGGCACCCCACAAGGCAGCTCACTACTGTCTGTAACTCCAGTCCCACGATATCCAATACCCATTTCTGTCTCTACAGGCGCTGCATGCGCCTAGTGCACAAACATACAAGAAGGCAAAATACTCATACAGGAAAAAAAAAAAAAAACTTTAAAGAAGAGTTACTACTTTAAGATCTGAGGGCTGGAATGTCACTCCATGTTGGAGCTCCACCCTCAGCATGCAGGAGGCCCTGTGCTAGCTAAGTCTCCAGCATCCCAGCAAATGATTAAATGAAAAATGAGAAGCGTAAGCAACACCATTCTAAACAAATTCATTCTAAAAATTATTCAGTTTAAATGCAATAAATGTTAGTGAAAAATAAAATCTTAAATAATAAATTATTTATACAGTGGTAAAATAAAAACCATATGGTAGTCTGAGACACAAAGGAAGCTATGTGATGACAGGAATCTGATACATTTTATTTTAAAAATGTATATGTGTTGCCTCTATGTAATAAACAGAAGCAGAAGAGTATCTAGGAAAGTCCTTTTTGTCTCTCAAATATCCATGTATGTGCTTTCTTGTTGACAAAAATACTTAGTTACAAAAGGACATTTCTTGTTAGCTTTGTTTTAGGAAAAGCACCAAATGTCAAACAGTGATTCTGGCTAAACATATCAGTTGGTAGATTAACGGCATGGTTCAGTGCTAGAGTAAAGCTTAACATTTTAGTGCCAAGAGTCTGACTCCATTGACCCTGAAATCTCCTTCCTTGGGTCCTGGTTTCATCATACCTTTCTGAGACTCTGAAACACCATGACTCAAAACATATAAGAAACAGATCTGAAAGAGGATCTGCGAGCCTTGCTAGCTGTTCTCCAAAAATACCTGCATATAATCTCTGAAATTTGAAATTTTTTCTCTATAGAAAAATCTAAAAAGAAACTAGACTATCCGTTTACTAGTATAAATTCTTTATGTGTGAATAAAGAATTGTGCTGTAGGCAATAAAAGGAGACTATATATCCTTTTCTAAGCTGGGGGAGTATGAAAGTGCAGTGAGAAGAGCTTCTAGTAGAGAACTAGGCACTTCCTTTCCTGTACTGTCCCTTTATTCCTGTGGGGAGTCTGGCTCCCTGGCAGTTAAAGAAAGGAATTAGGCTCTACAAAGTTCCCTTCCTGCTTCTTATTTGCTTCAGATTCCTTGAATTCTTTGAATGTTTAAGGGGCCACATTTGCTTTCTCACTCTTTGGTATCAGGAAGTCACTTTTTAACCTTAATGTTTAAGAATTTGTAATTTTGAAACTAGTCTGGACAAGAAATGTGTACCACAAAGAGGAAGAGGTAGCAAGAGGAAAAAAATTGTGTAAGAGAAAGAATAAATGGGCCAAGTAGAAGTTCTTATTATACCCAGTAAATCAGCAGGAGCTACATTCTTACAGGGAAAGGCAGACTCATTCCAGCACTCCTAATCCCAGCCAGTTAATTTAGAGAGACCTTGGTAGAACCACAGGAAGTCTGAAGCAGAGATGGGGGGGAGGAGCTGAACCAAGAGATAGCAGTAAGGAAGGGCCCTGGCCTTTAAGAGGGTGATGACCTCTCTGCACCACCAGCCTCCCTACCCCCCCCACACACACACCCCCCACAGACCTTGAGGCTTTGAGGTCTCTGGGGGGGAGGGGGACAGTCTGGTGGTTTGTGTCTCTAATTTCAGCATGCCACTGGCTAAGGTAGGAAGATGGAATGTTTGAAAGCAGCCTAGGGGCTACATACTCAGTTCAAGGAACTACACAGGCGATCGTCTTGTCTCAGAAAGCGGAGGAGCTTCTCCAAGCGTGTCTTGAAAGCTCTAGAGCCAGTGTTCACAATAATTAGTCCTTGTGTAGTCCCATTAGTACAATCCAAATAGCTTTCACGTCTAAACATACAGAAGATTATTTATTCTTTGAGGAATACTAAATAATCTAGTCCCACCCTAAATTCTTAAAAGAGTAGTACAGGGAATGCCTTGGAACATAAGGGTTTATTTGATAATGAAATTCTAGTAAATGATGACAGAATGGGTTGCAGCTTTCAGAAATGTCTTTTAACTACTTTGGAAGAAGTAAATAGTGGAAAGACCGATTAAACTAGATTCTTAGTGACCTGGTTTTTAATCTTTGGTACTAAAAATCCAACTTTTATCAAGTAATTTAATTTCTGTTATAGTTTTGAAAGTTGTAAAAAGGCAATATTGAATTAGATCTCTAAAATCACTTTTATCTTAGCTTTCTGTTTTAAAATTTCAAAAAGAAAAATTGCAAATGAAGAAACTTGAATTTAGAGTTATGATTTCTGAGGATTGCACAGTGGGTGGAGGATGGCAAGCCCAAACTGAAATAGGCCCTCACTTTATAAGTACTGAACCCAGTTAGTTCCTTATATATGTTTGTCAAGTGAAAAAAATACATTCTGTACATGCATAATGGAAATAAATTTTGAAATAAAAGGATTTTTGGTTCTTAAATTTGGACTTTTACTTTGGACAAAATCTATCCTAACTAGGCCCTTCTGTCTTAATAGATGGTTTTTAGAACAAAATGAAGTGAAATAAATTTTGATTTAAAAACACATACACACCAAAAAACCAAAAAAACAAAAACAAAAAATCTAATATAAATGCAGTAAGCCACAGTATCCTAATCTTTCAGATACAGGTTAAGTTGTGAGATGACAGAGCAGTGAGCTTCTTTTCATTACTGTTTAGTGAGCAGATAAAAGTTCCTGTGCTTCATGCATGCCAGAAGAAATGGCCCTAAGAGACGCCATGTATGAACTCTGTTAGTTGTGATCACGGGTTACAGAAGCCAGTCTTAGAGTAGACAGAGACTCGCCTTATGAGGAGGACTGAGTATGTGAGTTACTGAGCACCTCACACATTGGACTAGTTAGAACGCTCTAATGTTATAATAGAACTTCATCTAGAAGCTGAGAGCAGACTGCTTAAGCATTACAGAGTGCTAGCCTGTTATTCCCACCCCCTCCCCCATTAAGTTCAATTGCTTAAGTCAATCACAGAAGAAGCCATTTGTGAGAAACAAATTCTTCAGCCGTGGTTGTTTATTGCTA